AATCTTCGGAGGACACTGAGGAAAAGTTAAAGAAGGAGGGGAAGAATAGCGAACGCAGGAAAATCGGGGAGACGGTGTTCAGAGATTTGCTCCCACCCTTGTGTTGCTCTGTGTCTAGCCAGAGGAAAATGGTTGGTACAGAGTCCATTTTAAGTTTGCACCGCGAAATTTTGGATGCTTCTCCCTCACGATTGTCTCCCGTCGTTTCCATTCTTTCTTTTTCCAACTTCCCGGTTCCGCAACTTTGCCGCATTATCCATGAAACTTCCTGTCTATTTGCGCGGAGAAAAGAACGAGCCAGCCGGCTAACGTCGAGTCCTTGTTCGAGCCTCAAAGACACCGAGACATCCGCCTTTATACCGATATATATTTCGAAGGGATAGAATAGGTTTCTGATCGTACTTTTCGAAAAGAGAAGAATCTACGTTTACTGTGAAAGCAAAGTTTCCTATCGAAGAGAAGAGAAGGGAAGAGAAGTGGTTGGTAAGAGGAGCAAGTTCAAAAATTCACTTGGATTAATGCTTTGAAAAGTAGCAGGGTCTCTTATCTCAGGCAATAAACGAGGGAGCAAGGACGTATTAAACGTGGTTTGCATGAATTCTCTGGAATATATGCGTCTAACCCTCCCACCATCCTAGAAGAATCAGCTCTTTTTCCACTTGGGCTCATCTGCGCAACGAGACGTTTTATATACGATCCTCCACTTTTCTTTTATACCTCATTCGGCGGCTACGCCATTTCTCACCCACACCTGCGTAATAAACAGCTCCCTCAAGTACTCAATAAAAATTCCACACGGTCTCGGTAGAAAAAGAAGAGATATATAGTCTGACAGATACTTTTTTCCCAGCCACTTCTTCCCTAGCTCTACCGCCCGCGCACGGTTGGTTCGCCCCCGTCTTCATTCCACGATACGTGTCTGTCTATTTAATATCGAGCACACCTAGCCCTCCCTTTACCCGCTAGAGCTCCTTCGTTCTAGTGATTTCGAAACTGCATCTGCTGCGATCGAGAAACGCGTTCTCCAGAGAGAGAGGGAGTGAGAAAGAGAGTGATGGAGTGACTGAGAGAGTGAGTGAGCGAATGAGAGATATGACAGACAGAGAAAGGGAGAGAGAGAGATAGAGAAAGACAGAGAGAAAGAGAGGGTGAGAGAGAGAAAGAGAGGGAGAGACAGAGAAAGAGAGAGAGAGTGGGGGAGTGACATTGGGAGAGAAAGGGAGAGACAGAGAGTGAGGGAGAGACAGAGTGTGGGAGAGATACAGAGAGAGAGGGAGAGACAGAGAGAGACACAGAGAGTGAGGGAGAGACCAGGGAGTGAGGGAGAGACACAGAGAGAGAGGGAGAGATACAGAGAGAGAGGGAGAGTCAGAGAGAGACACAGGGAGAGAAAGGGAGAGACAGAGAGTGAGGGAGAGACAGAGAGTGAGGGAGAGACACAGAGAGAGAGGGAGAGATACAGAGAGAGAGGGAGAGACAGGGAGAGACACAGAGAGTGAGAGAGAGACATAGGGAGAGAAAGGGAGAGACAGAGAGTGAGGGAGAGACACAGAGAGAGAGGGACAGACACAGAGTGAGGGAGAGATACAGAGAGAGAGGGAGAGACAGAGAGTGAGGGAGAGACCAGGGAGAGAAAGGTAAAGACAGAGTGAGAGGGAGAGATACAGGGAGAGAAAGGGAGAGACAAAGAGTGAGGGTGAAATGGAGAATGATTGAGTAAACGAGAGAGAAGACAGAGAGGGATCATAGCGTGCTGAGAAAGTTAGAAAACGCTACTTTCTTCCGGCTCGTCTGCCACGAACCAAACCGCGAAATGTCTCGCGTACGTTCGCGCAAAAACCGATACGCTCGGAAACGAAGAGGCAAGAAGATGGTGATAAAAGGGAGGGTGCACCACGGGCGAAAAGTGGAAAAATACAGAGCCAACTGGGGACGTCTCCCACCGTGAACCTTGCTCCTCGATGATTCTGAAAAATTTCTACTTCTATTCTCACACGCCCCCATTTTCGCTTGTCCGTCCTGTTCAAAGGGCGCCACGAGTAATCCCATATTCGACTGTCCGACGCGACAACTTTTTCTCTTCTACGGCGAGCAGAAATAGGTTTCGGGGGAGGAAAGGGCGCACGTCGGGGGAAAAAACCTTACCCCTTTTGTCCTTTTGTTGCGAAGTTTACCTTCTCGGATTAAATCGTTATTATACGTGAGACAAATATAAATTCCCCACCACTAGTCTAAACTTCTATCGGTTCTTCGTGAATTCGTGACCTGAATTGCGGTTGAAAAATGAAAGAAGAACAACTTGTTGGGATTATTACTTCATCCACCAGACTCTGATCTCATATTTTATTAAAAGGGTACACATTAACCGTCGATTTTTTTCCTTAACGTTCCAAGCGTGTAGAACATTCTGTCGAGG